CTTGCGATCAACAGCCAAACAGAATGAAACGATGAGTCGTTCCCTCCACCCTAACAATCACTGATTCCACCAGCACTCACCTCGACGCACTCTGTCACAATGGAGGTGACTCCAATCGCCAATATCGCCTTCCTCATTTCCCTTTTGACAAAACACTGATTGCTGTGTACTCCTTTACAACTGTCACTTTCAGAGTGAGAAATGTGGCAATTGTGATGGCATAAGATGGTGCTATGAAGGGATTTGCGGATGGAGTCGAGCATCCCTGCCGATGCCATAAAAGAATATGGGCGGTACTCTCGGCAATGACTGGATGCTGAAGAACTGTCAAGTTGAGTGCTGACATGAGAGGTCAAAAGGTGGTTAGTAGACGTGGCACACTCACCTCAACTGCAGCTGCAACTTCGTCTCTGGTGTCGGTTGTGGGCCCACGTCGGGGTGTCTCAGGTGTAGCGCAGATGCGCTGTGGAGGAGAGAATGTTTGACAGGATGGAGGCGCGAAGGTCTCCATGTCTGGGAGGTTGCATTGCATTGGTGCCGATGGAGCAGGTGGATCGGCATCCTGGTTCAGATTGGCTGTTAGTTGAGGTGGCGTCTCCTTCATTTGGTCTGATTGTGCCGGTTGCTAAAGCAATGAAATGTCATACTCATGCTCTGCCCACCGATCGCCACCTCCACACCATATATCTGAACCTCAATACTGCCTCCCCTTTCCCAAAACCTGCATAAGCTTTGTTAGTCCAGCATCCGTTGACGCAGCCACGAATTGTTAGGCCTCCTTGTTGAAATGCAGGTGCTGAACATGTTGGAAGGCTAATCGACTGATTGGTAAACTACTTCTCACATCGATGCGCTGCACGTCATTAGGGTGGTGAGCAAAGAGGGGGGCATTGTGTGCTTTGAGCTGACAAGAATAGACGTCATTCGGCTTTCAATTATGCACACACACATAGAGAGAGAAGTGCACAAGCACACACGCCTGGTGTGATGAGGTGGAGACTCTCAACGACCTGCAAACTGCCTCACGACGTGTGAGACTAAAATGAAGACCGCGCAGGACACCGCTTTTGCACACATTCCATCAACGCAACCTACAACCACTCGAGGTGCTACTAAAAGTATTAGCGAGAAATTGACACGCGAC